GAAGGCCCCGAGCAAGTTTAATTTACCTGGCAACGCAAGCTAGCTGAAATATGATTGGTTGAAAACTCTACCATAATAAATAAGTTATTTATCGAGTGGCTTTCAATGTTATTTAAAATAACATTGAAAGCCACTCAACTAAGTGGAAATAATATGACGTAAAGAATACAGAGAATAATTTTGTTTACATATTTATGAAAATAAAATGACATAAATTATAAAATAACATCAAATACATAAAAGTAAATTTACTTTTCTGAGAATGTTTAGGCCAGCAGAGAAGGCCTTGCTGTCCCTGAGCGTCCGCCACTGGATCTAACATGTCATGAGCCGAAGGATCAGACCTTGGGTCAAACGTGATGATGATGATAATTACTGTGTAATGACAGAGCTGCCAAAGTGACAAGGCCGTTAAGGATGTTATGAGGAGCTCATCCATGTACGCTCTTAGTACTGGTTGCAGTGTTTCATTCTAATGTGACAGGAAAGGACTCTTCCCATCCGGTTTACACGAGTACAAATAATAAAGACTATTCTTGCTTTAAATGTTACATTTTATAGCCTGTTCATAAGTACATGTTACAGGTGATTCCTTTGACTTTGTGTCATCGTTTGAAATATTTTTATGTGTGTCTCTTTCACTTCAGGTGATTACACCGACTTCTATTCATCCAGGGATCATGCAACTAACGTTGGCACCATGTTTCGGGGAAAAGAAAATGCTCTCATGCCAAACTGGTAAACTAATATCAACACAACATCTGCAGGCAATTGCTGGTGGAGAGATAGGAGTGTGTGAAACCAACTGCCCAGCACTCTTTGCATCACTGATATGCACTGTAGAGGCACAGTTGAACATTATTTTATTGATGAAGATGATGGTCATATTCTAGCACAGTAGTGTGCCGTGTAACCATTCCTTTTCGTATTTTAGAAGCAATGTCCCTCAAATGGGCGGCAAGGTGGTCAACTGGTTAGCGCGTCGACCTCACAGTGCAGAGGTCGTGGGTTCGATCCTGGAGTTTCCTGTCTGGAGTTTGCATTTTCTCCCAGGGCCTTTTATTGATGGGTTTTCTCCGGGTACTCTGGTTTTCTCCAACATTCCAAAAACATGCATGGCAGGCTGATTGAACACTCTAAATTGTCCCTAGGTGTGATTGTGAGCGTGAATGGTTGCTTGTCTCTGTGTGCCCTGCGATTGGCTGGGCACCAGTTCAGGGTGCACCACGCAGACTGCCCGAAGACAGCTGGGATAGACTCCAGCATGCCCGTGTCCCTCGGGAGGATTCGAAAATGGATGGATGGATGTCCCTCAGATCATTATGATAACGAAAAAATTGTTAGAACAACTTGATCGCTTAATTGGCCTATTATTTTGTGCAGGTTGAGGCTTCCCGTGGGATATCATGGTAGAGCATCATCAGTGGTTGTTTCTGGCACCACTATTCGTCGGCCCATGGGCCAGATGAGACCCGATCAGAGTAAGTTCACAGTGGCACAGCTTGAAATTCATTATGCTGACTCCCCTGATGGATGTTGACCAAATGTTCTGGTGAATGAAGCACTTACACATTAATGTCCAACATTGTAAGTTTGTGTAGTCACATATTTGGATTGTTTGAAATTATTTTGAAAAAAAAAAGCCTTCAAGTGGTATTATAGGATTAAATTATCATATTGATAACATAAATGGGCAGCACGGTGGTGGACTGGTTAGCACATCCACCTCACAGTGCAGAGGTCATGGGTTCAAATTCTGGGCTCCGGCATTCCTGCGTGAAGTTTGCATGTTATCCCCGTGCCTGCGTGGATTTTCTCCGGGTACTCCGATTTCCTTCCACATTACAAAAACATGAAGGTTGCTTGAATGCTCGAAATTGTCCCTCTAAATTGTGACTGAAAGTGAATGGTTGTTTGTTCCCAAAGACAGCTGGGAGAGGCTCCAGCATGCCCATGACCCTTGTAAGGATAAATGGATTTGAAAATGGATGGATGGGTAACATAACTGAACCTGAATATTTATTTATTTATTTTTTGCCAGTCAGATTTTTGCTGGAAATGACTCTCCATAGTCTATTGCCGATGATGCAAAAATCTCCAAAAAACATATTTAGATTTCATGCAAAAATCTGACTTTGGCAAAAAATGAATTGGGCAGTTATGTTATTAGCGTGAGAAAATTATACAAATCCAAATCCAATGAAATGAGGACATCATGTTAAATATAAATAAAAACAGAATCTTCTGCTTTGTTTTGTTTTTTTATTTGTTTTACACAATGTCCCCACTTCATTGGAATTGGGTTTGTACATTGCAGTACATTATCCAAAGGAGAAATGTTTTAAACCACAGAACAGTAAGTAAAAGTAATCATAAATGACTGACTTTACCCCAATGTTTCCTTCCTTTGTTTCAGCAAAACCTCCTGTCTTTGGCCCATCAAAGCAATTGGACATCGAGTTGGAGATGGTGATTATAGTTGTCTCTCATCTTATCACGTGCATGATTGTCAATCTATTGTGAAAGAAAATGTGTTAACACCAGGTTCATTGAAATTGAAATTTCTTTTGATGTCTATGAACATACAGTATACGTGTTTTATGCTGTGTGTAGGCTTTCTTTGTTGGAGGGGGCAATTTGCTTGGGGAGCCAATCCCCATTGAGAAAGCCCATGAACACATCTTTGGCATGGTACTCATGAACGACTGGAGTGGTAAGAACATCTGCTCAATCATCTCTTGTCCAACATTAACCCTTTCAGGGACAACGGTTACTGCAGTGGACAGCTTATCATGTTATCAGGTTATAGGGTGCATGAAATTGCAATTAGCTTTAAAAATTGACCTTCATTTGTCCATATAAACAATTTTAAAACATAAACAGGCAATTATGAAACATATTTTACAGCTCCTATTTAGGTGTAATAAAAGTCACAATTTATTAATTTTAAGTGTAATGCAGGTTGTCAATAATTCATTAATTTTAAGTATAATGCAGGTTGTCTTGAAAAAAAAAGGCAGGGAGAAAAAAGAGAGAGAGAGTGTATAAGCAAGACCGTCCAAATGGACAACATTAATTTGCAGTGACATTTAACTTAAAAGGGCCACTTGTACCTTCCTTTACTCCTGCATTATAGATTATTGCAGTCCCTTCATATTTAGTCAGATTGACATAGATGAAGATTAAATGGTAAAATCAACTCTCATCAATTCATGTTCCACGTCTCTAAGGAATTATGATTTTGCTGTTCTCCCCATGTTTTCCCCACGCCTGCGTGGGTTTTCTCTGGGCACTTTGGTTTCCTCCCACATTCCAAAAACACGAATGGCACGTTTATTCTAAATTGTCCCTAGGTGGAAGTGTAAGAGCGAATGGTTGTTCGTCAAATGTGTCCTGGGATTGGTTGACAACCAATTCAGGGTGTGCCCTTCATGCTGCCCAAAGACAGCTCAGAGAGGCTCCAGCACCCTCCGAAACCCTTTTGAGGATAAACAGATCAGAAAACAGATGGATGGAAATTAATAAGCAGACTCACTCCCCTGTATGATAGGGCAGTAAAGTTCACTCGATCTGTATTTGCAAAGCTTTTAGAGGCGTTGAATGAAACTGTCGTGCCTGTGTGTGCACGCAAACATCAGACACGTAAATCAAAGTCACCCTTTTATTTTATGGGTCGCCCACATCAGGCAGCCATGGTGGCTCACACATGACAGGTCTATGTGCACACACTTTCTATTTCTCACCACACTGCCATGCAATTTACATACAACATGTAACAAGGGCTACGTATGTTTTATAATTGTTGGAGATGATAAAACACTCTGGAGCGGACAACAGGTTTCTCTTTGGACCAGTAAGGGGACACTAGATTCGATTCACCCTATGATCCTTCAATTGGTTATGTCTACTCCCTATTGCCTCATGCCATAATCCGGGTTACACACAGCAGTCGGAAGAACACATTCTGGGTATAGGAACAAAAGACTATTAACACTTATGCTCATGTTTCATCTCTTTCAGCTCGGGACATCCAAGCTTGGGAGTATGTTCCTTTGGGTCCATTCCTGGGGAAGAACTTTGGAACAACCATCTCACCTTGGGTGGTCCCCATGGAGGCCTTGTTACCCTTTGCGGAGCCCAATCCCATTCAGGTCATGACCATGGATGCAAACACTACAGGCTCAATATTCATAGCCAGTGTAAATTTGGCACATTGTGCGGACTAACTGTGCAAATGTACGGGCTACATCAAGTGTCGGTATTTTCGTAAATGCATGCAGCTTTTTTTTGTGCCATTGTGGCCATGAAAACATCCAACTTGCTTTGCAGCCAACCGAAGAAGCGCCTTTAAATTCAATGTATAAGAGTCACACTGTCCTTGGTATGGCCCAAACAGAAACTGATTGTCTGGAGTCCATGCAGGAGGTCCAAGCGTGCAAAGTATGTTTGTAAGCAACTGTAAGCAGACCTCTATGGACAAATGTACAGTTGATCACGCGATGACAGATTAGCTCTGTAAATTGGGCACTTGAAAACTGCCTTCCACCCTAATGGGTCGTGTCCGTGTGTAACCCCCCCATAGCTGTGCCACAGCCAGCGGAGTGATTGAGAAACTATAATAATTATAATGCGTTCACTTAATTTCTACAATGTTTCTGAATGTCCGATGTTGTTATTATGATGTATACGATGACATTCATCATACATGTCCACAGAACTTAGAGCATGTCTGCCTGCACTTTGCTGATGTTCACCAAAATTGCATTATACTCCCTGTGCCAATAGTTCGATGAGGTTCCAGCAGGCATAAAGATTAGTCTACTTTCCACAACCAAATTTTTAGGTGCACCGGACGCTTCTCAAAGCAAATGCCTTCAGTATGCCAAACGCCCAGCATGGTGAGAGAGAAGAACCAAATTCCTAAACGAGCACATTGGGGCTTGCATCAGCATGAAAATCAGGATATGCCAATTTTTACGTTCGAGCGCAGCTGCACTGTCTATGAATGTAGAGCCCAAAGAGAAGAGCAGCGGTTGTAAAACTGAACCCCGTGGAACTTCATAAGACGTTGGAGACAAGCATGATTCAGAACTTGCAAGGATCACTCACGCGGTTTTTGACAACTAACAGCTGTTGATAAAAGTTACCAGGGAAAAAACATACAACTACCTCATGAAATATTATCAATGAAACAATATCAGTGGGAAAAAATGGAAACATGTGCTCACTTTTTCTGAAATACATAAACGAGTGAAGCGTAAGATGCAGCGATATGCTGGTAAAAATACATCATTGTTGCCTGATGGTTCAAGTGACAATTATATTCATAAAATGCACATCTGGGATTTTCCATATGTTCAGTGAGTGTTAGCACAGCGGTATTTAGACATGTCTCTTGAAACGTGAAAGTGAATGGACAGTTAAAAAATACCTGATAGAGGCTTTAGTTCCAAATTGGATCTGCATGCTACCTGTACATCCAGCCTCAAGAATGTAAAACTCAGTCATTTCTCCTTTTAAAATTTGATTTGATTTCATAGGTCAACCTGCAGCAGGGGTGCTTTACCTCATTGTCTGTCTCTATATATGCCCTGTGACTGACTGGCTGGTGGCCAGTTCAGAGGGTAGCGCGCCTTTTGCCCAAAAGTCAGCTGGGACAGGCTGCAGCAACCTCCGCGACCCTCTTCAGGATATGCAGTGCTGAACATGAATGAATGGATGGATGATGTGACATTTCGGTGCAGTTTGGATGTTTTCATTGCGGTGTACCGGTATTTGTTTAATTATTTAATAGAATGACGATATTTATGCATGACATGTAATTAAGTTTCTGTGCACTCCCCATGCCCTCCCCCACCCAAAATCCTTTTTACAGGATCCACAGCCACTCCCCTACCTCCAACATGAAGATGCATACACATTCAACATCAATCTATTTGTATCACTAAAAGGTATGGCAGAAACAAAGTTGGTTTCATATGTGGTATGTGTCAGTAAACTGACTCAAGTTTAGAAGAATCAGAATCGGAATCATCTTTATTGGCCGAGTATGTAAAACACACAAGGAATTTGTCTCCGGTACTATAGGCTACACTAGTATTGAAATAACAACCAACTACAATAAACTAGGACATGGCATATAAGCATTGAAAGACTTTCCGTAATGTAAGCGTACCATTGTGCAGTGGTACCACCCAATGACAGTTGTGTGACAATATGGAGAGGCATTGAGCAGAGATAAAGTCGTGCAGTACATACAATACCAAAACCGCTGTGCAATTGGTGCAAATAATCGTTGCACCATTTTTAAGTGACCAGTAGCAGTAATTGTGATACAACTTTAGCTGTGCAATTATGCATAAAGCCCTTGAAGCACTTTGAAGAGTCTAGTGCTGTGGTATATTGATCAACAACAATTGTTCAAGTATGTAGAGAGCTGGAGCTACAATGATCAGTGTGGTAATACTGTCCCACATGCAAAAATGCCAAAGACACTGTAGATTTGAGTCAACTGTTTAGGGAGTTAATGGCGAGAATGAAGAAGCTGGTTAAATGTCTGCTGGTTTTGGTGCGCATGATTCGATAGCGCCTACCTGAGGGGAGTAACTGGAAGAGGGGGTGGGCAGGATTGGTGGGGGGGGTCCAGTAGGATTTTCCATGCCCTTGTCTTGGTTCTTGCGATGTACAAGTCCTCGATAATGCATAGGGCGGTACAAATCATTTGGCAGTGCATCCTAGAGTACAGTAGTGCAGAGCTGTCTAATGCGTTGACTGTCATGTAGCTAAATGAGGGAAGCAAATTACAGTATTAGCAATGTGATGGAGTGTAAAGCTACCCCACTGCAAATTGCAAACATAAGATCACACATTGTTCATATATTTTTCTAATTGTCTCGATCAAAATTGAGCATTATTACAATGAAAATTTATGATGTCGAAAATATAGTAATATGAGTAATATAGTAAGTCATTGAATTTTGCATGTTGTGACTGGTAGGTTTATATTGTGTTATGTTGTCAAAATATTTGTCATGATTTTATTCTCCTTCAGGGCAGCTAATGAAAGAATCTTCTAACATCTGCAGTTCAAACTTCAAGGTAATAATCTGTATCTGAAACTAACTTTAAATATTAGATAGTTACAAGTGGCACATGACAAACCCTTCCTCCACATATTTTGTCAAAATTTAAATGAGTACAGTAATAGCAAATACATTGAGTATGTAATAATTAAAAAAGAAATATATGATTTTATCTTTCACAAACCATTGCCTAAACTTGGCCTGTCTCTCGCATTCCGTTACAGTTCTGTCAGATGCTACACTGTACACACATCATGATATAGTGATGATTTCAGTGTCATGAACTGAAGGCAGTCAAGAGCGTCTGCTACTTGTGCTTTGACTTCACTGCTTATTCTTCCATGTCTTTAGTACATGTACTGGACAATGAAGCAGCAGCTCGCTCATCACACAATCAACGGCTGCAACATCAGACCTGGAGACCTGCTGGCTTCTGGTACCATTAGTGGACCTGTGAGTGTCTGACAGCACACTGTAAACTATACATTTCCTAAATATACCTGTGCATTTCGTAACAGAGTATATTGAATATTAGTCACTCTGTGAGGCTAAACCTTTTCTGTCTTAAGTTCTACAATTAGTTTTCTTTTTTTTTGCTTTTTCTACAATGTCCAGTTTTTGAATAAGAAAGGATACACAACAACAAATGTTTTTATATAATCTTATTAATCAATTAATTGAAAAAAATAACTGATTAATTGATTAGTTAAGAAAAATTGGTAGTTGTAGCTCTAAAATTGGAAATTTTACACCGAATTCACGTCATCGGTATTTATAACGTTATCCGCTGATCACACCTATGGATGATCTGTATCAGCAGCTTAAAAATCTGTTTGGAACACACACACACACACACACACACACACACACACACACACACACACACACACACACATACACGCACACACACGCACACACAAATATGGGTCATTTTCATATAATTTGATAAATTGAATTATTGACAACTGGTATCATTCAAACGGAAATAATTGTGTTTATTTTTTTGTTTGTTTTCTCGAATGGACCAGGTACCTTTTGAAGAGCTTATTCTTTCATAAATAAAATCTGAATCTGAAATAACTCAGCCATGATCCTGTAGCTCCTATCTCACTAAGTGTTGAAACATGTTGGGGTTCAAAATTCCCTGTTGACAAGAAAAAATTGCGATCATTAAAAGTGTCGACGAATGTCGACTGATTGCGACCTAAACGAACCCTCACACAAGACATCAACATTCACTATGTTTGCAAACACTCTCAAACCTTCACCGCTCAGTGGGGTTTAAAGAGAACACGTGGGATAGAATGGATGAATGGATAGTGTCCTATTGGCACTGTACAATTGTAGATCAGCTTTGCTTTTGAAGCACATTTGTGATATCCATTTTCATATACAGCATGTGTGCATCATATGTCTCCCAAAAGGATCCAAAGAGTTTCGGCTCCATGCTGGAACTATCATGGAGGGGAACCAAGAGCATTGATCTTGGTGGTGGAGAAACCAGAACCTTCCTCCAGGATGGAGATGAAGTCACCATTACAGGTTAGAAGTAAAAATCAGCCTACTGCTTAAGAAACAACAACTAAATGGACACACGAGTATGTTGTTTAAAATAAAGGTAGAATTTGGTTTGGTCAGCCATAGCCTGTTCTGAGAGCGAGAAGTCTTTAATGAACCCTTAATTAAACCCACATATATTAGTTAATGTATTTTGAATTCACTGAATGACTATCCATTCCCTATACTGTATGTAGGACATGTTAATAACCGAGCCTTTATTGCGGCTGAACATGGAGTAGATAGAGACAAACATGACGCAGCTTCATCATGTATATGGATTTTTCTCTGTCCAGGTCACTGCGAAAGAGATGGTTACCGGGTGGGCTTTGGCTCCTGCACTGGGGTCGTCCTCTCTGCCTTGCAACACTGAAACCAGCAGAATGTTTTGTGTGAGCGGGAACGTGTTCCTTTGTGGAAAATTAATATTCAGCACGCACATGCACACATGCATACATACACAATATGACACACTCTGTTTCACATGCTGCTCAATTGAAGTGATATGCGCCTTAATTAATTATTCATGCATTTCTCAGAGCTCCGAAGACAGATAGTGACCTTGTTACTGGAATCCTCTGCAATATCCGTCAGAGGGCTTGTTTCGCATCATGTCTCGTGTTACTGCTGTACCAGAATCAGTATTATTGATATTTGCAGCCTGGTATTTCTGGATTAATAATAAAAGGCTAAATACATTTTTATTGATTGTTTTTTGCTTTTTTTTTTTTTTTTTTTGTTCTAGAGTGTATCATATGACCATTAGATTTGAAGAGCTAATAGAACTGCAGCGTAATAGGACATGAAAGGCAAAATACAACACTGTGAAGACCGCACACTTGACTGGATTCATTTCTGAAGCAATGCCCCAGCTCCATCTACACGCAGCTCGAACGCTGGTTGTTTTGTAGCACATACCTGTGTGTGCAGCTCTTCCCTGTGATGAAGGTGAACAAAACGTCACAGAGGAGTCGCCTCACAGATGACCCCCTGTAGTCTATCTTGAGTCCCAACAACAGACCCGTAGGCCAGACAAAAATGAACTTATTGCCAAGAAAAGATGTGAAGCAGGGTTTGTTGTCACGTTGCAATGATCTTCTCCACCAGAGGGTGCCACTAAAAAGTAGAAGACGAGTTTACCTGTGTAAGCTAATGTTATATTTTTAGTTATTGTCATTTTATTTTTGAGCATCATATTATTTCATGTTTACATGTTGATAGCGTCTGATTGGCTCAAGAAAAGGAAAGCGGGAAGTGGAAAGCGGGAAGTGGTTTTGTTGCGGAGAATAGTGTGTTCTGATCGTGCTGTGGTGCAGACGTCCTTTTCAATAAAGCTGCGTTCAAACGGAATCCATCTCTCCTTTTGCCGTTTCGTAAAGTAGAGCCATCCATTCAAAAACCACGAACCCCTCAACTTACAGCTTTATATGATCAGGGGTTGTGTCCCGTCTGAGAAGAAAATAGTACATAGTGATCTCAGATGACTGCGAATTAACCGTTTTGTATAGTCCATAGTAAAAAAAAAAAAGTTAACTATTAATTTTAAAACAAGCTCTTTCCGGATAAAAGTCCTAGCAGTGATACGTGTTGACTTGTTAAAGGAGAGATTAAGGCATTTTGTCATTCCTCAGAATGAAAACTGTGTCATTGTTTTATTTGTTGCAAAACCCTGTGTGATATCTTACCCCGTGTGCTGACACAACTTCCCCCGATGGTGTGGACGACACGTCACATGCTCACACCTTGCCCAACACACTCATAATACAAGCAGGAACCAATCTAAGTAAAAAATAGGCAACATTTACAATTGTAAAAAAATAATAGATCGGTGTGTCATTGTGCTTTTTAGATATGTTTTGAATGAATGAGTCATTCATGGCGTTGGCCTTCAGTGACACCTGATCACTGTAACTAGGTGATAGCCAATAAATCACTGTAGGAGATCGAAGGAAACTATGAGACTGGCGTTATAAAATGGGTTGATTTGGGTTTCAACTAATGTGTCATCTTTTCTACCGTAAAATACTCCAACGGAACTCCTACTTTCAGAACAATGATTATTATGAATTGATTCGGTTATGTCAGCCACCAAATAGAAGTAGAAAATAGTTTTCAAAATTTCTTTGAATTTATTTCAGAATTGTATACTTTGTATTCTTACAGTCAAATCTCATGTCAGCAATGCAACTGTGCCGATTCAACAGGATCTTCCTTCCACCTCATCATTCTGAAGCAGCCCCCACCCCGGCCCCAATCCTTCCTGAGAGGCACATCACTGACTGCTGGAGAGTCTACGTGCACCCATCACAGAGTAATTAGTCAGGCATCCTCCACCCTCCATGAGTCAAAAGGATTTGATTCGAACACGCTCCCCTTCCTCTCTTCTCTTAACTGTCTTCAATTGATCTCGTCATGAGTTCATTTGCTTCTTGCTGAAGGCTTGAAATCCCAACTGTGCTTATGAGGGAGCCATACAATGGCTACCATGCCTGTTGGGGCACATCCCCAAGCACACTGGGCTAAAATACCCAGTGATTGTTGTGTTTTGTCAGAAGTTCTTTTTCAGACCTGGAGTTTATTTGGGCTCAGACCAAAGACCAGCCCACTTTAGTCCACCACGTTTAATCAGGGTGTATTATTTTATCCTAATTAGTGGCTCGTCTAAATTATCTTAGTGTTGTTCCCTTTAACACAAATGTTAATTTCACCCCCATTTATAAATCAGTCAGCTCTACTAGTTTGCCTTTTTTCCCTTCATTTTTATACATTTGTTCAAGAAATAGGTAAAGTCCTGTTATTTATTTTCTTGACATTCACTGATTCCTACCTGCCAAATCTGGAGTTAAGTGTTGTGCTTGGTCTTCGTTTCCTCCTCAGTCTCACTGCAAGCATTATCCTGGTTGCTGCTATTGTGGTCGTGTTTGCATGTCATTTTTTTAAAATTAGGGATTAATGTAGCATACCATTTCCAACAGATGCGATGGTATTTATAAGAAAAGACATCAGCCAAACATATAAGATTGAACCGTGGTTTGCATGTTATATTTTGTGTTTTGTGTTGCCCTTCAGGTGTCTTGGTATTCAGGTGTCTTGGTATTGCAACTTACCTGTATCTCTTCCAGCAGGCACCTTTGCAGCACTCTGTGATGGTTTGACAAAAAACAAAAACAACAAAAAAAAAAAAACAAAAACAACAAAAAAAAAAAAACAAAAACAACAAAAAAAAAAAAACAAAAACAACAAAAAAAAAAAACACAAGTTTGGCACATTTGGCCAACTTAACTACATCCTTACTCTTTTTATTGTCTGCTTTGGGTCTTTTATAGCAGTGCTTTTCCTGTGGCTGTGATCAGCTTAATATAGGAATCACTGAGCTTAATATGTGACAGATTTCCCTGAGTCATGACCATGGCTAGAAATAGGATTTCATTCCACTCATCGGAGGATTACCTAGTATATTTATTTTCTTGACAATAATAACACGAAGTATTGTGTGCTAATATTTCTTCACTGGAATCCTTGCAGTTTTTTTTAGACCAGCCATCCTAACATTCTATGAAATGGTCAAAATTGGGGGTTATTGGATTAACATGCGTGATAGTTTAATGGAACACTCTCAATTGTCCTGAGGTGTGAGTGTGAGCGCGGATGGTTGTTCGTCTATGTGTGCCCTGCGATTGGCTGGCAACCAGTTCAGAGTGTACCTCGCTTACTGCCCAATGTCAGCTGAGATCGGCTCCAGAATGCCTTGATAAGCGGATCAGAAAATGGAGGGATGATGGATGGATGATATCCTGTACACCAATGTAAAACAGCCCCACATGTGGACGGTACCAAGTTTTTTTTTGTTTTGGTTTTTCTTTTTTTTTTTTCTTAACATATATGATAAGCGGCTCGGATAATGGATGGATGGATGTTTGGCCTTACATTTTGGAGTTATTAGTACTGCGTCATTCCCAAGCAATGTGTTCAAACAAATGAATCTTTTGTGCGATTGTAAGGTCTGGAATTATTTGATGAAATGAATTGTTCCTTCTCATTTCAGTTAAACTTAGCTGGGAGTGTGCTGCCCGGGATTTGAACTGCCATGTTCTCTGATTTACTTGTAAACCTTTGCCCAATTATGCAGCCAGCATGCAGGCAGGGGAGGGATTGTACTGAACGTGCCTGCTGTTGAGTCAAGCCAAGGCGAAAAGACACAGATTTCAAGATTTAAAAGAAATGTAACTCAAGTGAGGACAAGCAATGTGTAAAATGGATGACGGATAAGTGTGCAGCCTTCCAACAAGGCAAAGATCTCGACCAAAAGATCTGTCCAGTAGCTGAACCCGAGGACTCGCATGGATATTCACAAGAGCGGCAAAACTGAAATCAGAAAGAAGTCAACACAGGAGTTGGACTGCAACAGCTATAGGTGAACGGTAGAAGGTTGAGCAGGATTCACCACAACTTGGCAGATGACAAGCGCTCGCGCTGTGAACTGAGCTGCTGTTTGCTTTGAATCTATCTGTCTTTCTTATTTTCCAATATTTGGTAAACTCCGCAATGTAAAAGAAAGAGGACTCACATTTGCAGTGCAGTAATGGTCGTACATGTATACCACTATTGCAAATGACTGTGTACTACGGTCTGTGAAAGTACCATTCCTCGATAAGTGAACAGCGAATGAACACCTCAAGGCTGAATCATGAAATGACAAAGCAAGGATTCAAGAAATATTATTTACCAACTTACATTTCCAAATGATTTGGCACACACTATGATACCCGAAGATCCCAGGTTAGCCCGGTGAGTCCAAAGACTTGTAGAACCACGAAATAAGATAAAATAAATATGACAAAGCAATAAGGAGATGCTTTTTCACTGTTTGAACGTGTGCAAAGATGCAGTGCAGCAAAGGTGTGGATGCAGCTGAACGAATATCCAAGAGACTTGAAATGCAAATGATATTTATAAGGTCATTTTCTACTTGAAAAAAGAACACAGTGTTCAAGTATAACGTGTTCAACATGCAGGGATGAATAGTCGTTCGGCTGGGGTCTGATGTCAGTGCTACAGAGCAGTGTCTTGAGTTTAACAGTGTAACAATTTGCAGGACGAAAAGCTGTTCGTCAGCCTGGTGGTATTGCTATGGATGTTCTGTAGCCTCCAGGATAAGGGGAGGGGATGAAAAAGGGTGTGTGCGAGGTGGGCTGAGGCCTTGATGATGCAGAGAGCCCTTTTGTCTGCATCTTTCGGTGAAAATGTCTGTGGGTGTGGGGAGGCCCCACAATCTTCTGAGCCACCTTCATTGTCCTTTGAAAGAGCCTTCCTTACTGCATGGCTGCAGTAAGGAAGACCGGACTTTTTACGCGTAGTCCAAGAGTGGACTCCAGGTAAATACTGTAGATAAATAAAAAAATCGGGAGCATCCAATGTTGGAATCTCAAGCACCTGATCTCTACATATGCCTCTGCAGTTCAGACAGCAGATTCTGAACCTCTTTTGTTACCATTCTTCATGAGCATCTCTAAAATTCTGCCTTTCTGCTTAGCGATTGAGGATAACCCAATAACAAATGTCTGAATATGAAAATGACTCTCACAGCCACTGCTATATTTTCATAAAATCAAACCACAAAAGTACTGCTTAACCTTGACACATCATCAAATATTGCTGGTGCAGTGTAAGAGAAAGTGACACAGAGAAAGCTTCTTACCTGTTCCCTTCTCATCTTGCACGGCTTCTGAAGTTAGGAACTCTGGTCTGGTCCTTATGCGGGAGAGGAAGGGAGGGGAAAAATTGAAGGATGGTAGCAAGTTAAGTTGACAGGCTGTAAATGGGAAGTACAGATAAGAGGAAAGGGAACGATGGGTTGAAGAGCAATGGGAAAGAATCACTGTGAGATACTGCATTTCCTCTCTGTGTACTGAAATCCAAGCACTGCAGTGTACTCTTTGCTGTTCCTGCTCCAAACTCATTGCCTACAAGTAACACACAATGAGATTGCATGATTTGTGTATGCAAACTGTGTGTGTGTTAGGGGCGGGGGGGGGGGGGGGG